TTCCTCGAGTAAAGAGACGCGAGAAAAACATCCACCGGCAGCAGCTGAGCAGCGTGAGCGTAAAGCTGCTTGACAACGATCTAAACCTCCTGGAGCAAACGTCTGACATTGTGTAGCGACCGGCCACTTTATAAGCAGAGGTGGAAAGAGTACTAAAAAAATAGTAAAAGTATCTTTACTTTGCATTAATTCTACTCAAAGTAAAAGGAAAATTACCCATCTCAAAATTTACTCAAATAAAAGTACAAAAATGTAATTTGAGTAAAAGTTACTTAGTTACTTTCAGTTATTTAATGCAAAAAAAGGATGAGTCATAAATTGAATTGAGCACAAGGTGTTTTAATTGATTTCAAGGCGTATTTCAGTGGAAATCCACACTGCAAAAGATCAGCTGGGCTAAAGAACATACTTCCTCACAGCACAAGGACAGTCACAACCTGAACCATAAAGTGCAAACTATTTTCAATCCTACTGTCCAACAGACAACATCCAATTTCGTAAATTGGATGTTGATGTTTTAAAAGCCGAAAGCTCCGTTTTGCTGGGCAGGCACATGTTGCACTGCATTATCACATTGTTCCCTTTGGTGCATCTGAAAACAAATAATCCTTCCAAATATGGCCGAGGGTTTTTCTGGCTTTCGTCTCCAGAATGTGTTTCCTCTTCAGGCCTTTCCTCATCCATACTCCCTACGTTGTGATTAGCAACGGCCATCTTCCAAAGCGCAGCACTGGATTATAATACAGGGTAAATGCAAGGCAGGACATTTCATTTTTCACCATCAGTATTTTTTATTTTTATTTTTACTCAGTAACGTGAGGTGGTTTTAAATGTAGCAAAGTAAAACTACTTAGGTTAAAATTTATTCGAGTAAAAGTAAAAAATGACATATTTCAAAAACTACTCAGAAAATTACAAATTACTCATAAAAGGTACTCAATTACAGTAACTTGAGTAAATGTAATTCATTACTTTCCACCCCTGTTTATAAGGCACCCTATTGCTTGTCAACACACACACGACATCAGCCAATCACACGGCGACAAAGTGATGCCTTTAGACAAACAGAAATTCAATCTGAGAAAACTTTAAAACCAAAAAATTACTCTAATTATTTAGAAATCCGCTGCTGGAAGTAGAACCGAGCTCACATTTATTCTCGCAGAAAAGTTATTAACATTTTACATTATATAGTGTAATGTTAGTTTATTTATTTATTTTACAATTAGTGGTAAAAATAAGTCATTTTGATTTATGTGCAAACGATTGCGACCTGGATGCATTTCTGGTTGTGGATGTTTAAACGAGATGATGATACAGATTGGGTAGTAAAACTGCTGTTACTGCCCACAACCAGGAAGAAAACAGTACTTCCTGAAAAGTAGCCAATCACAGAAGGTTTACTTTCTCCAGTGGTTAGAAAATCCCTTTATTGTCCAACAATAAGAAAACTCTGGTGTTAACAGCAGCAAAACAATTATAGGAAAAAAAAGCCAGACCCTCAAAGTGACAAAAGTGGACACAAGTGAGCAGAACGGGTCCACGTGTGAGTAGAAGAGAGGGAGAGCAACCTCAGAGTGCATATTGGAGCCTTTCATAATGAATCATCATGAGTAAAATGTTCAAAATGAACTAAAACTGCTCATATTGTTATTATTAGGATGATCTTCTGCATATGAGGCGTATACTGAAGGTGACTACATCCACAGGACTTTATTATTATTGTAGTAAAAGGCTGGATACAGAAGCACTCCAGACTTTCCAGATTTGCATCCATGAAAAAATAATTAAAAACATTTAATATTTAGCATGAAACCCCAAAGTTGGAAGCTATTTAGCAGGCATTGTAAAAAGGTGCAACAACACAACATGTACCTCGGTTAAACATGGGTTTAAGCATAAACTCAAACCTTTGCAATCTTTATGTGAACATCTAGAGGTATGTTTGTGTAAAACAGCACGGCACAACGGCAAAAATGCAAACCGTCAATTTATGGTGCTTATAAACCCCAAAGTTCATTTTCTTCTCCTTGAGGTTTTCTAACCTTCTATTCCCACAGTTGTCCTTTTTCTTTTTTTTTTTTTAAACTTCCTTCCTTTCTTTCTTCTGCGCCCCACCCTTTTCTCTTTGTGCGTCCTGAGGCAGCAGGAGTAAAAAGTCTGCAGAAACTCTGCTGAGGTTAAATTCACAGAGCAGAGGAAAAACACAGGCTGAGTTTAGGTAGAAACATTTCCTCTCCATGAACTTTGAATGAAAACCTGATTCAGGATGGATCCAGAAAACATCCCGTCTGATTGGAGAATGTTTTTCCTCTCCTGCTCCGCTCAGGCTTTCACCTGGACTTCTGTTCAATTTCAATTCAGCTTATTTATATAGCGCCAAATTCACAACACGTCATCTCAAGGCACTTTACAGTTCAACCAGATCATCCAGTCAGATTTATTCAAAGTTTTCTATCTAAGGAAAACCAGCTGATTGCATCGACTCATTGACTCAAAGACAAACCCTCACACTAAGCATGCTTGTAGCGACAGTGGAGAGGAAAAACTCCCTTTGAACAGGAAGGAAACCTCCAGCAGAACCAGGCTCAGTGTGAGCGGCCATCTGCTGAGGCCCACTGGGGTTCAAGGAGACAGAAGCAGAGACACAAAAAGCAGCTGTAAAAGGCGGCCCCGCCATCTTTCTACTCTTTTGGCGCTAAGCTCAAGTATTTCTATAAAAGAAAAGGTGTTTTTCTCCCTTACACCAGCTAGCAGACGGCAGGGCAAGGAAAGCATATTATATATACCTAATGCAGATATCTTTATTAGGGCTGCGTGTTTTAGCCAAAGTCCTGAATCAATTCGATTTTGATTCACATAAGAAAGTGGCTCAACGGTGTCTCAAAATACTCGTCTTTTAATTTTTCCTGTCACATGAAACAATAAGTGCAAACTTGTTTGTGAAAATTGAAAGTGAAGCCTGACTCGAGCGAGCAGACATTCATGAGCTGCATTATCTTCACTGCAAAAACCATATTTGCAGCGTTGTCTGTAACTACAGGGTGTTTGCTGCTCAGCCTCCATTTGTTAATGTCTTCAGTCAACCTATTAGATATATTTGCAGCTGTCTGACTTGAAGTCATCTTGAGTGCATCTTTCCTGTTGATTTGAATGTGAACGTCATGCGCGTCACTATAAAACTAATCGATCTCATTCCCTAGACCAGCGGTCCCCAACCACCGGGCCGCGGACCGGTACCGGTCCGTCGGTCATTTGGGACCGGGCCGCACGAAAAAAAAAAAAGTACATATAATTTATCGACGATCAGAGTCTGAGTGATTTTTTTTTTTTTTTTTGAAAAATACAAAACATTGGGGTATTCTCTCCCAATTACATCAGTCGGTGCATCTGTGCCTCTTGACACAGGTTAATTCAGTTCAAGACTCATCCTATCTATAACATCCTGTTAAAATGAGGAAGTTATGTCCCCTAAAAAAAGCCGTTGCGCCTCGGGGGCTTCCTCACGGTTCTTTACCTGGGAGCAAGTTATTTACTACTCTTAACTCAAACTGGGTAAAACCATATAAAAAAGGACTATAGAACAGGAGTAAAAAATAACAGAGTTTATTCCAGATCAGGTCGTTACAGGACAGAGAAAATGCTTAGAGCTTGCACAGCTGTGGGCTCAAAAATCACGTCCGCGAGCTTCCGGCAAAGATTGAGCCCCAAACAAGGTCTTCTCCTGCTTCTTATAGCTCATGAGTCTATGTGTTGCATCAGGTGGATGTTTAGCTGTCCGTATCAGAAACTGACATGCCGTCCATGTCTTGAACTTCATGCATCTTGCTTCTATGCCCAAGAATTACAGATAGCTCCCTATTAGAAGTCTGGCTCCAAGATGTGCCCATATCCTGTGTATTTCTAAAGACACGAAGGCTGTCCTGATTAGATGACCTCCGTACACACCGTGACATCCACAATGTGAAGGAAGGCCTTCTACTCTCTAATCTGGCTAACAGAGTAACAATGCACATGATGTATAAAGAATAAACCTAACAATCCTATCTTTGTGAAGCGGGATTTTCTGCGGTTACAGCGATCAGAGCAAAGCTACGGAGCAGACTGGACATCAGGAGCACGCTTCGTCTGTCATTGTCTCCGCCTAGATTGGACCGGTTTGTTTCGGAGAAAAAAGCTCAGGGCGCCCGCTAATTCAGCATAATGGTGAGTTTTATTTTTATGCTGTTTGTATTTGATTTTATGCCAGTCGTATCATTTTATTTAATCGTATTTATCCCCCACACTTTAAAGGCCGGTCCGTGAAAATATAATCTGACATATAACCGGTCCGCGGCGGAAACAAGGTTGGGGACCGCTGCCATAGACATCGGTTTTGCAAAAATGTAAAGGAATCGATTCAAAATCGATTAAATCCATTTTTTTTACCCCGCCCTAATCTTTATGTATTTAGTTACTCTAATATTAAACATTTTTATCTCAAATATTGTCTGAAAAATTATTTCTGCCTGTATTTTTAATGGTCAGAGTGTCAATTTGGGGCCCCCCTCTGTCCTGAGCCTAGGATTATTGACCCGTTTGTCCCGCCCTGTCGGTGGGTGTGCTCACTTGATCTGCTGTGATCACGTACAAGACACCAAGCTGAAAGTATAATTGTACGTTTACTCCTGAATTCAATGAAGGTCAAAATTAGATCCAAATGTGCTTCTTCTATGCTTAAACCAAACTTAGCTGGCATCTTTTAGGGGTAACTATGGAGACCATCTGCTAAACCCAGAGAGGTAGTCGTCTTTCCTAAGATGTAATCTTGTATTTTGGTGTTCATTTGCTTATGTAATGTTGGTTTTCTGTGTATATTTTACTGCTGAACAGGAAGCTGCTGTTAAACAGTGATGATGCTGAGCCAGGCCTGATTAATCTCTATGATTAAATATAAATTCAGTTATTGTCATGATAATATGAAACTATTGTTCGGATAAACCGTGGCAAGGGCGTCTTACCAGCGGTGAGTACGATCGGCTCCAGGACTGGGAGGTAACTGGAGCGTGGGGTACGGTCCTTCCCACTTCCACGGTCGAAGACTCTGAGCTCTTGTCTCTGCGAGGCATCGGTTCCTCCGTGTCTCTAGGGCTTGTCGCGCTGTTGTACCGCCGCGTGGAAACCTTGGACAGATAACACAGAGCAACATGGAGAAGTTTGTCATCTGCTTTGCATTCTGGGTAACGCTAGACCCTTCCTGAGAACATCTTCTCTCTCACCTCTGCCGGTTTAGTTCCTCTCTGTGCCGCTACAGCTGCTGCGCCGTTCCCAGTGTCCTCCATGTCGACGGTGGTCGCACGATACGCTCTCCATGTTGTTTCAGCCTCTGCTTCGTCTCCAGACCCTCCGTCTGTCAGAGCCTTGCTCCTCATCTGTCCTCGACCCGCCTCCTCCACCGACGCTCCTCCTCTGGTCCTCCATGTGCTCCTCACAGTCACATTCTTTATGTCTGATAAAGTGTCGTCCTGGGAGTGCTCGGTCTGGATGTGGCTCCTCCGGCTGGTCACTGTGGTCGTCGTGCTGCTGCCGCTCTCAAACCCAGACTCAGTGTCGTTTAACTCTAATGAGGCGCTATCTGAGGACTGGCGCCTGCCGATGGCGTGCTGGTGACCCGCGGAGATGCTGCTGGTCTCTACCCTGGAGGGGCTGAGGAGTTTGGACCTCGTCGGCGTGTCGCTCGGTTCATCGGTGCCACAGTCCTGGTCTGAGTACGAACGCAAACCGATTTTACTCTTAGGTATGGAGATCTCATATGGGACGGATATGCTGCCGCGATGGTCACTGCTGGACCCTGAGAACCAGAACCACAGGAAAAAAACTCATAACAACTTTTATATGTCAGACATGTTAATCATGGAGGATCTGACTAAGACTGAAAATACCTTTTTCTAGAAAAACCTATAAAAAAATGTATATTTTATTATTTTATGTAAAAAATAATTATTCACTTATATTTTCAGCAGAAAACATAATTATTAATAATAATAATAGCATTAATAATTAAAGTAACTCAAATTTCCTGAAATAATCAGTCTTGGAGAAACAGCCGAGCGCACAGCTGGTGTTGAGCGTGGGAAGAGCAGGCGGAGCGCGTGCGGAGACAGAGCCGAGCACGCGCAAAGATGGAACAGTGCACGAGGATAGTGGGTTGAGAAGAGATTTTCAGAGTTGAGCGCGTGTTGTCTCACTGCGCACTCCGATTGGTTCCCGCACGCTCAAACAGAAGGCACAAGTACCGTTCCATAGCGAGGCTGATCTGGCAGGGAGTCAGACACAGCACTGCTGATGCAGAGCGCTATGATCACTCCTCTGAAACTGTTTATTAACGCCTAAATTAACTGAAAATGTAGAAACCTGCTAACAAAATATGTTCACTTTTATTATCCTGCTGCCTGCAGTTTGGATTACGTACATGAAAAACGCTAACATCTACTTCCAGCCGCCACCAACAGTAGGGAAAAAACCCAGTGGCAGCGCCCCGCCGGTACGTGGGGGTCTGAGCGGCACCCACAGAGAAATAATATTTGAAGGCAGGATGGTAATCTGGATGAACTGACTGCACAGACCATGTTTTCAGTAGGACTTTCTCAATTAAAAATAAATTAAAGTCGTAGCGAAACGGCCGTTCCAATTATTGTATTTCCGAATTCTCCCAAGTGGTGCCCGACTTTACACGAGTGAATAAAGTGAATGTGATTGGTCGTTTATCAAGGGGGCGGGATTGTTGTGGCGGAAGGTTCGCAAGCCAGTTTGATTGTAGCCGGTTTGTCGGAAGCATCTTGCTAACCAGTTAGCAACTTAGCGCTAGTAGGTTCCCAATGGGAAATTCCATTGGGACCAAGTAGCACTAAATTGGTGACTTAGAAACGACGCTGTCAAGGAACGCTATGGACAGCGGAAACATGCAAGAGGAGGAGAGTTTAGTGTCGGAGGTCGTGGATAAGTCTCCTCCGTCATCCATTTTTTATTTAGAGGAGGAAAGTGGGGACGAAGATGTTGTGGAAGAGGACGCCAGGGATTGACAGATGACTGTTGATATATGATTGGCCGAATTTAGGTGTTCAGGCTGACGTAGAACTAACAGGCCTGCAGAAGATAATGAAGAAAACCCAAAAGATTTTAAGACAGGATTTAAAGCCGCTCTCTGTATTGAACACAGAAGCAGCAGAAGCATCTGGACACACTTTACTGGACATCTGACCTTAATGTGGACAAGCATCAAAACTGAAGCAGCAGACGCTTTTTTCTGCTAAAATCGTGTTAGGTATGAATGTAACATTACAGTTATTGTTCTTATCATCACTGCTAATGTTGGTAATTAAGACCTTTCCACTCTGTACCTACCTATGACGATGTTGCTGGTGGACGTGTGGCGCTCCTTCACAGGCAGCGGTTCGCTGGATAAGCTGCTGCTGCGGCTGCTTGTCCTCGAAGAGCCCAGGTCACTGGGGTAGATGGTTATGCTGCTGGTCATTTTGGAGGTGGCGGTCAAAACTGGCTTGGTTGAGATCTTTGGTTTACCGTTGGTTGACGAGGAGTCAGAAATCATGACTTCCTTCCTGTCGATCTCGATGATGGCGGGTTTAATGACGGCTTTGGAGCGCAGGGCCTCTCTTGGGCTGCAAACTCTCTGGATCTCGATCGGCGACGGGTTCAGGTGGCCTCCGTCAAAAGCCTGTGTCCTGGTGTGCAGGTCCTCGTCAAAGGAGCTCCTGGAAGACGAACCCTCCGAGTGCGAGTCCTGGACATGTGGGTATCGGGAGTACCTAGAGGTCGCCGTTGTCCTGCTGCTCACAGGTGGACACACCGTCTCAGCCACAGGTTCTACCTCCGAGGGCCTTGATCCCGTAGATTCGGTTTCAGAAGCAGATGACTGACTGTCTGAGCCGTGGTCGTTGGGCAGCAGTGGAGTGATGTGAGATCTGTACGCCGTGTAAGATCCATTAGCTTTAGCTAGAGTGGCGGATTCCTGAACTCTGTCTACTGGTTCCTGGTCAGTGGCCGTCGCCTCCTTCTCCAGTGTAGACACGTCGTTCACGCTAACAGAGCTCTCAGGCACAGCATCAGAGCTGTTGGACTCACTATCGCTGCCTATGTAGGGTTTAGAAACCCTCTCCCTTTTTTTAATCTCTGGATCGGTCTGTTTGAACTGCGTTCTCAGAGGCTTCTGCTCATTAGCGGCCGGAGGGTAGCGGCTCAGGACGGACACCTTCTTGACATCGGATGATGAGTTTGCAGAGCCGAACAGAGTTCCTTTAGGCCTCTCCTCGGAGAACCTTGCTGTGATTCCGTTATCAGACGTGACGGCAGTAGGCGGGGCTCTGGGGGTCCTCCTCCTCTGAGCTGGACTCAGAGCTCTCCTCACAGACTTTGGAGAACCCTCCTCAGAATTGCTGAGCTCTTTGCTCCTCAGCTTGGTTTCTCTCCTGGGCTGAGGAGACAGCTCCCGGATCCTGTGCTTCGGAGAGCCCGGTTCAGGAAAAGCCGCTGAACTTTTAAACTTCGGCTTCTCGTGCCTGGCGGCTCCCTTTGACGCCCACTCCTCGTTCTCAGCTTTGCCGTTCTCCAGGACCTTTGCCGGGTTTCCCACTCCTCTCCCCCCTATTCCAGCTTTTCCAGACAGCTGGGTCCGGAGCTGCTCCACCTGTTCGCCCAGTTGACGAGCTCGCTGTTGCTCCACCTGAAACTTCTTGTGAAGCTTGCCGTTCTTGAACTGGGAATCCTTCAGATCCTCCTCCACTAGCTCCAGCTGCTTCAGACGGTTCTTCAACTTCTCTACTTCTTGAGTGAGCTCTTTCACTTTGTTGTCTTCCTCCTGTGAGCCTTCCATACTGCTGCCCTTCTTCATCTCAGACTTACTGACGATGCCCAGCTTCTCATCGGCTAGCTTCAGGTAGTCTAGGTTCTTCTTTCCAGCTAGTTTACTTGTGAAGAGCGCAGTGGAGGACAGTTCATCTTCGATTCTTGAATTCATGAAATCTGTGCGACCCGGTTCTGTTGTCAGACCGAAACGGTTCTTTTTTTCTTCCGTGAGCTTCTGGATGATCCTCTCGTCCTCTCTTTGTTTTTCCGTCAGCCTCTTGCGTTCACTGACGAACGCCTGCGTGAAGGCTTTAAGCCTGTCCAGCTCTTTAGCCAGAGCCTGCTCTGCTTTGTCCAGCCTCGTCTCAGAACCTTCCAGTTCCTTCAAGCGGGATTTGAGTGTTTCCAACTCCGAGGAGAGCTTCTTGGTGAGGTTCTTCTCCTCGTTGAGGCTGAGGCAGAGTTGGCTGCAGTCAGATTTGCTTTTGGCAAAAGCTTCTTCCAGTTTCTCCAGTTCAGCCATCCTCCGCTGAAGACGCTCAATCTCCCCCTTTAGCTCCTTGGTGAGGCTTTCCTCTTCTTCTAGTTTCTCTCGAACTGTGCGACAGAGGTCCTCAGCTTTGCGTACCTCCTCATCCTTGCCCTGGATCTTCAGGAGCCGTTTCCGTAGGTCTTCCACGTCACAGAGCAGGGACGAGTTACTTCCCTCTGCCTGGATAATCTTGTCCTACAAAGGAGTATGTTTATTAATTCATTTTGTCTTTAATATCCTAAAATTAATCTTTTCCTGATCATTATTGTGTCCATAAAGCAAACATTTTATACATCCTTATTCACCCAGCAAGAGATGTTAAGCTAATTAACATCAGAGTTAATTTTCCGTCCAGTTGAACTGCATTTGTCTACTATACCTCAAATATCCCAGATAGTAGCACATTTAAAAAAAATTAATTATTCATTTTAAAAACAAAATTTCAAACAGAAAAATATTTTTAGTCCTAAATTGATCTCAATCAAACTCATGCATTTATTTACGGTTTGATTTCATCTGAATCTTTTTGCATTGCTGCGTTTCTCCACTAGATGGCTCCACTTTTGCCCAGGCAGCAGAACTTTACAGTTTTAGCCGTTTTCAGCGAGGTTGCCATCATAAAGAATACATTTATTTGTCGAAAATGACTACAATCATGGCTGCACAGTGGATAAGGTTCTGGGTTCGATTCCCTTCCCGAGAACTTTCTGCAAGGAGTTTGCATGTTCTCCTTGTGCATGCATGCGTTCTCACCGGGTACTCCGGCTTCCTCCCACAGTCCAAAAACTTGACTGTTAGGTTAATTGGCTTCTCTAGATTCTCCTTAGCGTGTGTGAGAACGGTTGTGTGTCTCTGTGTTGCCCTGTGATGGACTGGCAACCTGTCCAGGGTGGACCCTGCCTCTACGTATGTACGTACGTACGTACATACATACACACAGACTACTGTTCAAAAGTTTGGGGTCACATTGAAATGTCCTTATTTTTTAAGGAAAAGCACTGTACTTTTCAATGAAGATAACTTTAAACTAGTCTTAACTTTAAAGAAATATACTCTATATATTGCTAATGTGGTAAATGACTATTCTAGCTGCAAATGTCTGGTTTTTGGTGCAATATCTACATAGGTGTATAGAGGCTCATTTCCAGCAACTATCACTCCAGTGTTCTAATGGTACAATGTGTTTGCTCATTGGCTCAGAAGGCTAATTGATGATTAGAAAACCCTTGTGCAATCATGTTCACACATCTGAAAACAGTTTAGCTCGTTACAGAAGCTACAAAACTGACCTTCCTTTGAGCAGATTGAGTTTCTGGAGCATCACATTTGTGGGGTCAATTAAACGCTCAAAATGGCCAGAAAAACTTTCAGAACTTTCATTTGAAACTCGACAGTCTATTCTGGTTCTTAGAAATGAAGGCTATTCCATGCGAGAAATTGCTAAGAAATTGAAGATTTCCTACAACGGTGTGTACTACTCCCTTCAGAGGACAGCACAAACAGGCTCTAACCAGAGTAGAAAAAGAAGTGGGAGGCCGCGTTGCACAACTGAGCAAGATAAGTACATTGGAGTCTCTAGTTTGAGAAACAGACGCCTCACAGGTCCCTAACTGCCATCTTCATTAAATAGTACCTGCAAAACACCAGTGTCAACATCTACAGTGAAGAGGCGGCTGTGGGATTCTGGGCTTCAGGGCAGAGTGGCAAAGAAAAAGCCATATCTGAGACTGGCCAAGAAAAGAAAAAGATTAAAATGGGCAAAAGAACACAGACATTGGACAGAGGAAGACTGGAAAAAAGTGTTGTGGACGGATGAATCCAAGTTTGAGGTGTTTGGATCACAAAGAAGAACGTTTGTGAGACGTAGAACAAATGGAAAGATGCTGGAAGAATGCCTGACGCCATCTGTTAAGCATGGTGGAGGTAATGTGATGGTCTGGGGTTGCTTTGGTGCTGGTAAGGTGGGAGATTTGTACAGGATAAAAGGGATTCTGAATAAGGACGGCTATCACTCCATTTTGCAACGCCATGCCATACCCAGTGGACAGCGCTTCATTGGAGCCAATTTCATCCTACAACAGGACAATGACCCTAAACACACCTCCAAATTGTGCAGAACTATTTAGAGCAGAAGCAGGCAGCTGGTATTCTATCGGTAATGGAGTGGCCAGCGCAGTCACAAGATCTGAACCCCATTGAGCTGTTGTGGGAGCAGCTTGACTGTATGGGACGCAAGAAGTGCCCATCCAACCAATCCAACTTGTGGGAGCTGCTTCTGGAAACGTGGGGGGGAATTTCTCCAGATTACCTCAACAAAATTAACAGCTAGAAGGTCTGCAATGCTGTAATTGCTGCAAATGGAGGATTCTTTGACGAAAGCAAAGTTTGATGTCAAAAAAAAATCTAATTTCAAATACAAATCATTATTTCTAACCTTGTCAATGTCTTGACTCTATTTTCTATTAATTTCACAACGTATGGTGGTGAATAAGTGTGACTTTTTAGGAAAACACAAAATTGAATAAATATATATATATATATATATATATATATATATATATATATATATATATATATATATATATAATAATTAAATTATAATTATATAATAAATATTATTATATAATTATATATATTATAATCTCAAGATCCAACAGTGAAAATAATACCTTTAAATCTTCCTTATTGAAACAATTTTTTTTTATGATTGAACTATTGAGCTGGATAAACATGATAGCCTTTCCTTTTTTTTTTCTCACCTAGAAATAAAAACAGTACTTAAATATGTTAGACTGAAGTAAATCCGAAAAAATTTATTTTAGTGATTATCTCAGGTATCAAAAAACCAATGTGTTATGAATTGAAGGGACCCTTTGATAGTTAGATGACTGTAATAATCACTTCTTTATTTCACTTTACTATTTTCATGAATTAATAAAGGCGCTTAAAAGAATTGCATATATTTTTACAATATATAAACCTAGGCTTCATTTTGGATCTGATTACTGTACAAAACAGCCAAAAATACTAATCTTCTAAATGAGCTCTAAATCTAAACAGATGCGTGGATGGAAGCAAACCTGCAGGTCAAGCAGCTCATCCTCAGACTTCTGCAGCTTGTTGGTTGCCTCTTCCAGCTCGTCCAGTCTTCTCCCCAGACTCTGCAGCTTGTGCCGTAAGTGGCGGTGCGTCATGTCTTTATGATCCGACATGGCTGCAAACCTTAGAACGGATTTGTAGTCCAGCTTATATGATAGCAGAGTTTCTGGACTTCCACATCTGCGTAGCAACGACAGCAAGACCTAATAGTGCTCCTCTGCTCCTTTTGTCAGCCGGTATTGTCCCGGATGTCCAACTGTACGTTTAGGTCTCAAACTCTGCCTTTAAATGGTGTTTAGCAGACAAATCTGTCATCTGTAGGAGAGAAAGAGAGGAAATGAGGCTTAGTCATCCATGATTTGTCAATGACAGTAGCATCAAGCAATACAAATATGAGTCAAGAGAAGCTGACTTAACCATGTTTCACACCCTGTTACCAAAACAAGAAAGCTAAACATCAAATCAATTCAACAATTAATCAATTTCAGTTGAACAAGGCAATAATATTAATCATTGGACTTCCAAAGTAATATTGAATAATTAAAGTGATCAGTCAAGCAAACAAATCAATCCAGGAGGCCACTGTGACAAACAAAAGTAAGGAGAGAACCTAACTTTAACCTTAAAGTGTGACTTACACCCATGTGATAAAATAACCCCGCCTCCCAGACAAGTTTATAAAAAACTCTTTAAAGTAGGCGGTGACTGGACACCTCAGGGGGCGGGGCTGAGTGTGGGAATGAGCGGTGAGAGGTTAGTAAGGGTCAGAACCACTGATCTCTATTTATTCACTGAAAAGCTGAAAAACTGAAGTCACCTGCCGCCATCTTGGTACTCCCCAGGCACATGAAGTGGCTACATAAAAATGCCTGTAATGTAATATAATTACCATACATATGTAATCAATACATGTACATTACATGTACATCATCAGTTTAACACTTTTGGTTCATCGTCAGATAGTGTGTGCATCTAATATTCTTAATATCTGACTACAGTTGTGATGATTTATATAACATGTGTTTAGTAGTAGCCATTAAAAATGTCCCCACTTTCCTTGGTGGGCCCTTGGCTGGTTCCCTAAGATCCTTTTTTAAACATCAACATTTCTACAAAGATTAGCGTTGCACCGATACCAATACCAGTATCAGACGGGGCCCCGATCCAACACTAAAATAGTGCTATCGGTATCGGTGAGTACCAACCTATAGGGCACCGATACCATTTTGCCAAAAGTTTCTTCAACTATTGTCACCCATTCCAGGTAGGCAATAAAAAGTTCTACTGGATTCACTTTGCATTAGTCTTTTTTAGGGCCGGTACCAATATCGATACTTTCACTTCGATACCGGTTCCTGAACGATACTTTTTTCGATACCAGTTTTATAATATCAATTCGGAGAAAAAGAAAATTACACAACATAATAATGTACAAATCTTGAGTTTTATTTTAAGCTCTGATTTTTCCATTGACATTTTTCCTCTTACATAAAAAAATGTTTTAAGTGAAGAAGAACAGTTGCAAACAAGTCAGTGTCTAATATTCACTGTTACATTGTGAGGACCTTTTTAGTTTTTTCTTTAGAAAAATTAACATGTCTGCTTTCTCAGGAGACAAACAAGCCCGTTGAATGGGATCCTACTGACAGCGCACCGCTGGTATGTGGGGGTCTGAGCGGCTGCGACAGAAATAATTTTGGAAGGCAGGATGGTAATCTGGATGAACTGACTGCAATGATTAAGTTTTCAGGTGGATTTTCCTATTTAAAAACATAATAAAACTACTTTATTCCCACTGATCACAGCAAATATAGCTGCAAGGCAAATAAAGGATAGAGTAGCTCCGCCCAACGCGCGTCAGACACACTTTTGCACCGCGTAGCCAGAGCAGCAAAGCTGCTTCAGCCGCGCGTCAGAAGCCGGTACAAGCAGCAAAAATGAAGCAGCAGACGTGATTTTGCTGCTCCTGCTGCGTCCAGTTTGAAAGCAGCATGATTTCACTCCGCTCTGGCTTTGCTACGCCCACGAGCTGCTGAGAGGAAGATGGTCGCGCTGGCTGCGGTCCGCTCTTCCTGCGGTCAAACACCGAGCAAGTTTCTGCTCTTAAATTGTTTTCGTGCACGATGTATTGCATTGCGCACTATTGGCATCAGTCTTAATAAAGTGAAGCCACACTTTTGACCTGGGGGGCATTTTAAAGGGGTTCCACGACGCTGCAACCAGTTCACAACAGATACTAATTTTTGGTTACCAAGTATTACTAGGTAGTCACACAATAAAATGGAAATTATTTATTCAAAAATCATACAATGTAATTTTCTGGATTTTTGTTTTAGATTCCATCACTCACAGTTGAAGAGTACCGATGGTAAAAATTAGTCTTCTACAAGCTTTGCAAGTGGGAAAACCTGAAAAATCAAGAGTGTATCAAATACTTGTTCTCCCCCACTGTATGAAAGCATACCTGCTGTCCTTTTAATGACAGAAATGATCATATCTGTGGAGGGAATCATCCAAACAGGCTGAGCAAGAGTTTAACCTTTCCTGTCCTTAGCAGGAGCAGGAGGCTGTGTGGATGGAGGCGTCAGGATAGCTGCACACTCCCACACCCACATGCTTTGTTGTCGTCTCCCTGCTTGTGTCCCGCATCGATCCTGCCGTCTTCTGCTGACAGCAGCATATCTTAACCCGACCGGCCTCCTCCACTGCAACGCTGCAGCCCCATAACATAAAACAGGCTTTTATATAATGTAGCTGCTGGGAGAGTGAACCAAACATGATCTAAGAGCAAAGATGCACTTTCAGACCGAGCAGAGTTTGGCTTTTAAACTCAAGTTAATCTAAACCTGTGTTATTCTGTCCAATAACAAAAATAAATACAGGATCATGGATGTTTTTTTCCCCCCCAACTGATCGATACGAATGGAAAACATCTGACCTTAAATGTAAAAGTTATTCCTGATTTTTAGTTTGATGCGTTTCAGATTCACCAGGCAATTAAGGAATTTAAATTAGTCAAAGTAGTGATATGTATTCAAGTATGTACAATTGTATATGTTGAAAATGTCAACTCAATTCATTTATTTCCATTATTCAAAATTTTATCCAATGACAACTTAAAAACTGTAAATAAATATATAATAATTAATGAATATTTTGTGTCCATTAATGTTGCATTTTTGTAAATATTAATTTCCATCACTTTATTTCTTTCTCCAGACAGTTAAAATGTACTTTAATAAGTTTGAAAGCAAAACCCATATTTTTTTAATGAATTTTAAGGCTTTTCTAAATTTTAATTTGGTAACTTTTAGATCCTGCCATTAATCTAAGGGATTAAGAACAAACCGGAGATGGCTTTTGTTTATAAAATATCCATTCTGATGATGCAAGGTTTTATATTGACCACTTTTTTAACGTCTTACTAGGGATGTACAATATAATCGGCCCCCTATCGGTAACGGCCTGTATCGGCCTTAAAACTGAATATCGGACATCGGCCACCCCACCGATATTTAACCCGATATTTGATCAGCTTCTGAGTTTCTAAAGTCTAAAAAAATAAAAATACTACTTCTTCTTCTTCCTCAAAAACTTCTTTTTTACAGACTTAAAAACTTCTAAAGACGAGGGAAAAAATATTGATACATTAAAATATCCCAATATCTTCATATGCTGATATATTGCCATTTAAAAACACCATATCAATCTCTTTTACTAATGAAATATTGCTATATGTCATCGTTATGCTACAAAATCCCCCAAAAATTCACGAAATGTTGCCATATTTTTATATGTTGATATATTGACGCGGTATCGATCTATTTTACTAACAAAATCTCACAAGAATTTGCAAAATATCACGAGAGTTTGTAACAGAACGATGAAATTTCACGAGATTTTGAAAGTAAAATAGATCGATACCGTGTTTTTAAAAATCTATTTGATATCAGCATATGAAAATATATTTGAGTATATTATTTTTCAAAGTGTCAGAAATGGATAACAAAACTGCTATTTTCAATGACTTCTTATTTTTGTCCAGCTTTAACATCGGTATCGATATCGGTTATCGGCTACATGAGTTTTAAAATATCGGCATATCGGATATCGGCCAAAATCCCAATATCGTGCATCCCTACTTCTTACATCCGATTGAGAGAACTCTCATTTTAATTTAAGTTGCATTCAATTTTCATTTATTATTATTATTTTCTTTAAATATATATTTTGGCTGAAAATAACATTTTACCAAACAATAAAATCAGAAGTGTTTGAGGAACGAGCCTCCTGTTGCCTCCATGGCCTTTCAGAGAAAATGTCCATTTTGGAACTAAGAAAGCGACAGAATGAATGAAAATATATTTTCATATCACAACACAAGATTGATTTATGAAGCAGGGAGATAAATTGTCCTATAAACTATTTTGTAATGTGATTGTTCAATATTTAGCTCTAAGAAATGTTGCCAATGGAATAAGCAGATTTAAAAAACTCCTTGCTAGATTATGTTGAGCGCATAATATTTGATTGTTATTTTATTTAACTGTTCAAATTAAAAGCAAATACACTTATTCAAAGAAGCCTTAACTCATTTTTAGATCAGTTTGCAGTGTCTTTAATTTAATGTGCAGGAAATCGACTTTCCACCAATACGGTCAATTTCAGACACAAAGATGATAAAAAGTCCTGTTTATTCAAAAATCTAAATATATTTTATTATTTACTTTAATGTCAGTTTTTGTCTGAGCAAATGGGACAAATAAATACTGATATACTGACATTGAACGTTTAATTTTATTTCTTAAATGCTTAGCGTCATTAATAAGCTTCATACCTAAATGTTCCTTTTATCAATTCAGTTTCAATTAAATTGAGTTTATTTATATAGTGCCAATTCACAACACATCATCGTCATCTTAAGGCACTTTAGCAGCTGATTGCATCGACTCATTGACTCTTCAGCAATCCCTCACACTAAGCATGCTTGTAGCGACAGTAGAGAGGAAAAACTCCCTTTGAACAGGAAGAAACCTCCAGCAGAACCAGGCTCAGTGTGAGCAGCCATCTGCTGAGGCCCACTGGGGTTCAAGGAGACAGAAGCAGACATAGAAAAAGAAGCATAGATACAAAAGGCAACTGTCAACCAGCTCCACAGGCGGCCCCGTCCAGGAAACACACAGCCAGGCCGACGAGCTCCGAGCCAGCTCCCATTAAAGATGCAACGTTAAAATTCATCACCTCTATTTGACAGAACATCTGATTTACATCAAACTTTACAGCAGTCTGCTGATTTACAGCAGACTTTAGTCTGC